GGCCCCCCTTATTTTCTTTTTTGAGACAAGGTTTCACTAAGTTATTAAGTTACTCAGTCTGGGCTAGAATTTGCAATCCTCCTGCTTCAACCTCCCAGAGTGCTGAGAGTGGCTATGTCTAACTTTTGATTCAATAGTCCACTTCAGTGAATATAAACTGCAAAATGTTATCAGCCTCAAGAATGACGGTACAGGCTGGACTGGGGATGTAGCTGAGTGATAGAGAATCTTCTGCACCACCCTCCAAAAAAGTCTATGTACCAGGTGGGGGTGTACCTCGGTGGCAGAGTGCATGCTTAGCATGTGCAAGGCCCTGGATTTAATCCCTAGCACACACATGATATCTTTATATCTGCCTGCCTGTCTGTCTGTCTGTCTATCTATCTGCAGTATTGTTTGTAGCAGAAAAATATGTCACCTTGAAAGTTTTAAACTAGGTGTGGTAGTGGATGTCTATAATCCCAGCACTTAGGAGAATGGAGAGTTCGAGGCTAAGGTGGGTTATATAGTGAGTTCAAGATGGGCTGGGAGCCAGGCATGGTGGCACACACCTGTAATCCTGAGTACTTAGGAGGCTGAGGCAGGAGGAGCACCATGAGCTCAAGGTCAGCCTGGGCTACATAGTGAGTTCAAGGCTGGCCTGAACTACATAGCAAGATCCTTGTCTCAAAAACAACAAAGAAAAGGGCCAGGGATTTAGCTCAGTGGTTTCGCTGCCTGCTGCACAAGCGCAAGGTCCCAAGTTTGATCCCTGGTACCAAAAAAAAAAACAAAGGAAAAACCAAAGAATCAAAAAGTTTTAGTAAATTTAAATGTTAGAAACAATTTGTATCACTGAGAATCTAAGAAAAGTCCATCACATTTCTGCCACATACCCGTCTTTTAGACTCTATGGTGAGTGAAAAATGGTCCTTATAGATGGAACCTTGGAAGATGTTTTTTAGTTTGCTCTCAGGGCTTCAGTTTTTTTTTCTTTTTGGTACCAGGGATCGAACTCGGGTCCTTGTGCTTGTGAGGGAGGCGGTGGAACCACTGAGCTAAATCCCCAGCCCTATAGGGCTTCAACTTTAATTGTTCCATTTAAAGTTAGGAATTAAGCTCCTGCCAGTGCAGTTTCAAAAGACTCTGTAGCTAGGCTTGGTGTTGCACACCTTATAATCCCAGCTACTCAGGAGACAGAGGCAGAATGATAGCAAATTAGAGTCCCACCTGGGCAATTTAGCAAGACTTTGTCTTAAAATAAAAAATTACAAAGGTCTGTGATGCCCCTGGGCAATCCTCAGTACCACAATAAATAAAATCCTGTGTGTGGGTTTATGGTAGGCTGAATAATGACCCAAAGATACCAGGACCTAACCTGGAACCTGAAAATACTACCTTATTTGGAGAGATAATCTTAGGAAATGTGATAGAGTTAAGGATCTTAATGTGGAGGGATTATCCTGAGCCCTAAGTGTAATCACAAGTGTTTTAATAAAAGAGGGTCAGAGGGGGATCTGACTGCAGGAGAGAGAGGAGGTGACAACAGAAACCAAGTTGGAGGAAGGCTTTAAAGATGGAGGAAGGGACCACAAGCCAAGGGACACAGGAGCTCTAAAATGAAAGACAAGATTTCCCTCAGAGTTGCCAGAAGGAACCAGCCCCACAGACACCTTCAGTTTAACCCAGTAAAAGAGATTTCAGACTTCTGACCTTTGCTGTTGTAATAAATTTATGCTATCTTAAGCCACCGAGTTTGTGGTAATTTGTTACAGGGGCCACAGGAAACTGACACACTTGCCCCCTTACAAACAATGACTTGCTGTTAACAGGTTACACCAATTTTGTGACTAAATCACAAAAATACTCATGTAGCTAGTGAGTCTATGATACTTGGGACCCTCTGATTGCCACAGAGAAAGCCAATAAAAATGAACAAAAAGGGGAGGTACATTAAAAGAAAGACAAGGTTATCTCAGGTGGAACGTGTGGATCTCAGGCAGGACCTAGGGCCTATTTCCCAGCAAGTCTCCTGGGGCTTCCTTGGCCACTCACATCTTTCCCTGTTTAGGCACATTCTTAATCATTGGTCTTGTGCCTAGAAAACCAAAGGGAACACAGCTTCTGCCAGTCTGTGTATCTACACACTGTAGTGCAGCCACACAAGAAGTGACTGGAATCTTCTCTAGGCCCTGTTCTGTATTTCAGGCAAAGAGAAGATATTGGATCCAGTCTAACAATGGCCTCCTTCCCCCACAGTAGCCCATTTGCTGGGAACAGATTCCTGGAATGCAAACACAACTGCCCAGGACTGAGGGAGGATGGTGAGCAGTGTGGCTCACTGCTAGAGAGGCATTGCAGTTTGTGTTTGTCAACTCAAAGCAGAATGTCCTTCCTGCACTGGCAGTCCAGAAACATATCCTTCATAGTCCCATGGCAAGACCACACCTGGAAAAACGCTGGCTCCAACACTGCCTGGTGCCTGTGGTTTTAGGGAGACCCTCATAGGTCTATGCAGGTGCTTACCGACTTATCTAGGGCAGTGTTGGCAAACCTTTTAGAGCTTTCAGTAATAATAAGCAGGCTGATGTGGCATGCGTACTGTAGGTTCACCACTACTGACCAAGGGGCTCATGATCACTTTCCACAGCACCTGGTGCACAGAGCCCTGCTATCTCTATGGTCACTCAAGCCAAGGTCTCTCTGGCACTGCCCAATGTGCTAAGGCAGAAGCACACACAGGTACTTTTTGTCATGCCTGACCTGAGTGAGACCCTCTCAGCAAACATGCAGCCCTCAACGAACAACAGGAAAACCACTAAAGGGCCATGCTCAGTAAAGAGAACATATGGCTATAAAGAAATTTAGGACAGGACATACAATCTCCCTGGTGCCAAGAAGTCTGGTACTATCCACACACCATCACTGACCTTCCTGGGAACTCTGACCCCAACCATTGCATCCCAGATTCCTTAAGATTACAACCCCCATCCCCAAACTCTATAAAAACTTCTCATCTGGCCAGCTGCTGACATCTTTGTTGATCTCAGCTTCCCTGCATCCAGGCAGAATAAATCAGCTCTTATTGCTCACACAAAGCCTGTGTCCAGATAGTTTCTCGTGCGCCGTTTGAAATACTTTTCATTGCAAAAGGGATCTCCCCGGGGGGGGGGGGGACCGAGAAGAACCTAGTGATTTGACTTGCCCTGTGAGAAATCTTGAACGGAAATTTGATGGTTCTGGAATGCTGGCCCACTTGATGTTAGTTTTTGCCAGGAGAGGGCGTTGGAAGAACGCTGTAAGGCCAGAAGGGAGCGAGGGACTTTCTCCTACCCAGCGGTTTTTCAGGGGGCTGGCAGAGAGAGGGCAGTGGAGGGAGCCCCAGAGCCTTCCTTGCCGCAGTTTGCAGCCCAGTCCCTCAGGCTCTCTTACAAGCACAGTACTGTATCGCTGACTCTCAGCTGTGTGATTTTTTGGTTTTTCTTTTGCGGTACTGAGGATCGAGCTTAGCGCCTTGGCACTAATCTATTCCCTTTTTCATTTTTAACCTTTGAGACGAGGTCTTGTTAAGTCGTCAAGTTGCCCAGGCTGGTGACTACAAGGAGCTGGAGTTTGCAGTCCTCCTGCCTCAGCTTCCCGGAGTGTTGGGATTACAGGATTCAGCCACCAGGCCTGGCCAGCTGTGCTTTTTTTTACAGCAGCCATTTACTCTGAAAGGTCGGAATCTCTGCCTTCAATTGAAAGGAGAGAGGTTCCTTTGAGTTTCTTTCTCTTTACTCTCTTGGTTGTAAGGGCAGAAGTTACTTCCCACAGTTTTGATTTATATAACTTTTAACTGTCTCTTACTCAGTTTTGCAAATTAAAAATTCTTTTAAAGTTTTTTTTTCTTTTCTTTTTTTTCTGAGATAGTCTGGATAGGTAGCTCAGCCTGGCTTCAAACTCAAGATGCTCCTGCCTAAGCCTTCGGAGTGCTTGGATTCCAGATGTGCACCACTACACTGGGCTGCAAATTAACAATTTCTTATATCAAATTTTCTCTATTCAAGTTAATAGTAATGTGATTTCTATCTCTTCGTTGGAGTGAATAATTCAATAGAGGGAAAAATTAACAACTACGAAGTTATAAACAGTCTTGAAAAAAGCTTAAAAAGCAGAAACCTACCCTATATTATTAAAAAAAAAAAAAAAGGCAGAGGGCTGGGGATTTAGCTCAGTGGCACCTCGCCTGCCTCGAAAGTGCAAGGTCCCGAGTTCAATCTCCGGTAAAAAGATATTAAATTTCTTTTTTTTTTTTTGGTATCGGGGATCGAACTCGGGTCCTTGAGCTTGTGCAGCAGGCAGTGAAACCGCTGAGCTAAATCCCCGGCCCCAAGATACTAAATTTCCATGCTATGGAGTACTATGCAGCTTGTAAAACTGATTGATTTTATTTATATATGCTGACATGGAAAGATACCAGGAATACAAAGTCAACAGAATGCTGCTTATAGGATGATCCTTGATTTGTATCAGAAATATATTTATAAATGTTTAAGGACAGACTAAAATATGCAGCATTTATATTAAAATGCTTTTTACCTTCGTGCATTTAATAAATATTTACTGATCACCTACCATGTGCCAAGTCCAACTATAGGTTCTGGGAGTAGTGCAGTAAAGTGTCTACATGTAGCTACTTATAGTTAAGGAGAGACAAATGGTGCACAAATACATGTCAGGTATATATAAATGTTAGGGAGAGAAGGGTGAAATCTGAGCAGAGTGAGGGAGCTTAGGCTGTAGATACCAAGAGATACCTTTATAATTTTCCTATCTTTCTTAATTTTTCTACACTAAACATGCAGTAGTACCTGACCAAAACAAAACAAAAATGCTCTTTCCATTTCAGGAAGATCTGGAGCCTGAGATCTCCAGGTCGAGGCGTGGAGAGGGTGGGAGCGAGGGCGGAGGGTAAGGAAAAGACAACCCCAAGATTCCCAGATAGGGTCCTTCCGAGCCCCAGGACTCCCGCCGCTCCTCACCTCTGCGTACACGGAGCCGCTGGTGATAGAGCACAGGTCTCCACCCGGGTCATCGCTGACCCAGGGAACCAACGAAGGAAGCTCCGCGCCCCTCACTGGGCTACAATTTCCAGGAAGCTCCATGATCCGCTAAGGGCAAAGCACTAAGACTAAGGAGATATGGGAACCAGGAGGCTGGAAACGAGTCTCCTAGCCCGAGCTCCTGCTCCCGGGCAGTAGATTCCTGACTACGCCCACTCGCTGGAGAGGAAAGAGCCGAGCGGAAGGAACAGTCCATTCCAGCACATCCCTTCCGGCGGAGCAGGCGCCCCACTCGTGGCTGGCCCAGACGCGGTCTTCGCTTGTTAGGCTAGCCCTAGCTTTCACTTTTTGCTGTTCAGGGACCGCAAGAGCAAAAAAAAAATGCTAAAGAAAAGCGGAGACGAAGGACACAGTGAACCTACACCCATATCCCTTCCTTCCAGGTGCCAGGGTATTGACGCTCTAGTGTCGCTGCCTTCTGATTGGCCAGATCTGGGAATTCTCCCCGTCCATTGGCTACCCGTCAGTGTAGCCTACCAAGAGTTCTAGGGGGGTATAATCGCAAACCCTTGCAATGGCGCATGCGTTGCTTAGTTTCCCGGCGAGCCCCACCCGAACTTCCGGCGCCGGAACAGTGAACGCCAGATCCGCCGTGGGCGGTGTGTCCTGGGGGCGGGGACCGGTGTAGCGGGTGGCGGGGCTTTGAGGCTGAACATTTATCTCTCGGTGGCCTGGGCCGGCGCCCAGAGGTGGAACCCAAGGGGGAACCCAGCACTCTGCTGGGACGCACAGGTCGCCCTTGCGCGCTGTGCCGGCTTGGTCCGCGGGCAGACAGCCCTGAGCTCCCGCAGCCCCTCAGCTCCGCGCGGGCGAGGCTGCTGGGGACAGCGCGAGGCTTCGGCCGGGTCTGCGTCCCCGCCTGCCACGCCCTGCCGGGCGACCCTGGTGAGTCCCGATCCTCTCCGAGGAGACTTCCTTGGTCATTGGAGGATAAGAATGGCGCGCATACCTTTCAGGAATCTTGTGAGAAGCAGAAGAGTAAATAAAGTGCTTAATGTGTATAGAGAATTGGAAACAACCTGAATGCATCACTCGGGTGTTGGTTAAGAAACTGGAGCACACCCACATCTCGGAAGCTCACAGTGTCGCTAAAGAAGCATTGCTAGGCGGAAAAAGCAAAATACAAAGTAGTACATACAGTAAGGTCTCATTTGTGTAAAACACATCAAGCATTTCTTGTCCATTTGTATAAATAACATACTCAGTAAACGCATAGGGAAAAGTCTGGGGGGAAAGCACAGGGAAAAGTAACATGTCAGACTGTCAATGGAAAAGGATTTGCATCTGCATTGAGGAAGTTTCTCTTTGATGTATTTATATATTGCTTAAATCACCCTCTTTTTACTACGATGTTTGTGTTGATTTTATTGTTGAAACAAAGTTTCAGAATACATGTATCAGAACTATTGTGAATAATGACAACATAAAGTGTGAGATGTGTCGTACATGAATATGTAGTTATGGATAAATGGCTTTGAATGGTGTCTGTACATCCTTCTCTGACACCCTCACCTCCAATGCCTAGATGAATTTTGAAATTTAGTCATTTATTTTTGAGACAGGATCTGCTTATGTAGTTTAGGCTGGCCTTGAACTTGTGGCGATCCTCCTGCCTCAGCCCCCTTCCTTAGTGCTGGGATTACAGGCATGAGCCACCACGCCCAACTTGAAATTTGAAATACAGAAGTTTTTAAATTTGAGAAACAATAAAGTGCACATAGTATATTAACATCTCCAGAGGGATTTGGGGTAACACTTAATAATCAAACAAAATGATTTAAAAGTTTAAGTGAATTATAGTATACATACAGTAAAACATTATAAATATAATTCAGTAAATCTTTACAAAATTAACAAATGTTAATAGTTATGCCATAAAACATATAAGTAATATAAATGGATGTACAAATATGCTTATATCATAGGTCTGGTAGTGCTTCCAAATGAGGGAGATTAGGATTTACAATATTTCATACTTGAGGAAAAGGGTCATGGGCCTGTACTAACAGAAGTTAGAGTTTTATAGAACAAGATATTATAATAAATCCTATGAAGGGCTTCACGTTTACAAAAGGACAGGTACTGGAGTCCCTGGACATCCCTCGAGGCTAGTGTTTGCTCCTGTATTCCACCCTTCCCCAAATCCTGCTCTTCTGCTTTTTTTTTTTTTTTTTGTACCGGGGATCAAACTTGGGACCTTGCACTTTCGAGGTGGGTGGCAGAACCACTGAGCTAAACCCCCGGCCCTATTCTGCTCTTTTCCCAGGAGCTCATGTCCAGATGCTAACCTGGACACCACAGGGTATCCCTCTGGGCAACTAAAAGGGTCAGCTCTGGTGCCCAGGCTGAAGCCAGCCAGCCCTGAGCCTTAGACCAGAGGAATGGCATCCCCCCAGGAGCCCCAGGACCAGGCTCCTGGGGAGGGAGAAGGACTTCTGATTGTGAAGGTGGAAGATTCCTCCTGGGAGCAGGAATCTGGCCAGCAGGAGGACAGAAGGAATTCTGAGGCCTGCCGCCAGCGCTTTCGTCAGTTCTGCTACAGGGAAGTAGGTGGGCCACATGAGGCCTTCAGCCAGCTCTGGGAGCTCTGCTGCCGCTGGCTTCGGCCCGAATTGCATACTAAGGAGCAGATCCTGGAGCTGCTGGTGCTGGAGCAGTTCCTGATGGTGCTGCCGGGGGAGATCCAGGCCCAGGTGCGGGGGCAGTGCCCGGGGAATGGTGAGGAAGCTGTTGCCTTGGTGGAGGACCTACAGAAGCAGCCAGTGAAGGCCTGGTGGCAGGTGAGGGGCCCTTCCTAGGTCCAGGGGCACTGGATGATACCTAGGCTGAAGAGAAATGGCCATCTCCATGGAGATGAGTCTCCAGGAAGGTCATGGGGCGGGGGAGACACCAAGCCTTAGCACGTGTCCTCGAAAGTACAACAATATACTTGTTGCCTTTCTGAAAGATGAGTCCAGTGCATTTTATTTTTGGTGACTTTGTTGGACAAAGTGGGCACATTCCACACAGGTTCTACAAACATTTATTCATGTTCTGCTCTAGGCCAGGCCCTGGGAATTCAGTGAGATACATGAGAGCACCTGAGGGTTATGAAGGGAGAGTTGTCTGCCAGCATCCCACTGTCCGTTGACTTGTTGGGTCCTTGGGATTGGAGCCATCTGGGGAGGTGCTAATGAGCAGTGTGGATGTGGAGTCGTGCCCTTAGGAGGTCTCTCTACTTCACCCTTGCTAAGTGGATGTGAACTTGGCCTTTGGGGGCTGATTCTTGCCTTGTGATTGATCAGGGAGTCTTCTTAGACTCACAGTACTCACATTTCCCTCTGAATTTTCCTGGGGCTCCATGTTGATCTCCTTCCCCACATCCCAGCCTCCTGAGGGCCATGTTTCTGTGTCTCCTTCCCAGGGATTAACCTCTGTGTCCCCTGTGTGGTCTCAGTGCTGATGAGCATGTTGTGGTTCCTGCACAGGATAGGCCCTCAGAGGACAAGGAACCTGAGGCTGTGGTCCAGACATCCCAGGCCAAGGGGATGGTGGGAGTATGGAGCGAGCTGCCTGCTCCCCAGGATCAGCCCACCCATCGTGGTGAGTAACCTCTGTCCTTGTAGGTGGCAGAGTGGCTGAACAGGGGCCTTGTAGTTCTCTAAGGGTAGTGTTTCCATTCTGGGAAGCCCGGTTATATGTGCACATGCGTGTGCACCTCCTTGCATGTGTGTGCATTTGCACGTGGAGGGGAGGCTAGAAGGCCTCAGTCCTGGGCCTGGCGTGGCTCTCTGAGGCTCTGTTCTTTTCCTCTAGCCCAGCTTCCCGCTCTTCTTAAAGAGAGGAGTACCAGAGAAACACCAGATGCCTGCTTTGCCTCTGGGGTCCATGTGAGTTACCAGTTTCTTTATCTTCTCTGAGACCCTCAGTGTTTTGAATCTATAAAATGGGCCTTGGGCCGGGGATTTAGCTCAGTGGTTCTGCCACCTGCCTTGCAAGTGCAAGGTCCTGAGTTCGATTCCCGGTACCCCCCCCCCCCATGGGCCTTGCCACAACTGGGTGTGGTACACACTTGTAATCCCAGCATTCAGGAGGCTGAGGCAGGAGATTGCAAATTAAAGGCTAGCCTGGGCTACATAATAAGACTTTATTGCAAGAAACCAAATTATGAAATGGGTCATGCTTTCTCCTGTAGGCCTCTTTTGTCCTACCCATCCTACCCCCATCCTCAATTGCTGGGAGGGTTGAGCAAGGCAGTGTGGTGGCCTCAGTCAGGTCTTCTCATTCCAGGGACCTGGGGGATTGGGAGACATTCCCTTCTATTTCTCGAGGGAAGAATGGGGTTCCTTGGACCCTGCTCAGAGGGATCTCTTCTGGGACATAAAGCGGGAGAACTCCCGGAACACCACCCTGGGTAAGTGGGGCCAGATTGGCATACCATCTTGCCACCATTCCTAGTCTTTCCTTCCACTTCCTTTAGCTGGATCCAAAGTGAACTTTTCTTGAGTTTTTTTTTTTTTTTTTTGAGAGCCCTGTGAGATTCTTTTTTGTGTATGTTGACCTTTATTTTCTGTGCCTCTATGTGTGTATTGGGTGACAGGTATGCAAGGTGAGTAACTCTGTGCTTGTAAAGGCATTTTCTCATTCGATTCTCACAAACGTGCATAGAAAACTTGTCCCCATTAATAGAAGAGGGACTTGAAACTCAGAACGGTCAAGGAATACTGAAGGGATAGAGCTGGGACACAGCCAAGCTTGATTATGAGGCCACCCCAGCCCACCACCTGCAGGGATGCCAACAGCAAGAGCCAGTCTGGACCCCAAGATCACACCTTACATTTGAAGCCACCATTCCTCCCTCGGCCAGGCCCTTTATTAGCCTGGCTTATTAGGGATCTTCTTCTTTAACCTGTATCACTCCATGGACAGGTGGGGTCCCTCCTTGTCCCAAGCTTCTATGTGTTCCTGAGTTTGAAGAGCTGGAGCCTGGGGAGAGGACCCCATTGACAAGGCCCTTGGTGCCTCAGTTTCTTCCAGGGGAGCGTTGATAAGCAGAATCTCCTGAGTGGATTCCTGGAGTGGGCATTGGTTCTCCAGTGTAGAGAGCCAGGCAGGGTGGGAGGGGAGCTGGGCCAGGGTCATGCAGAGTGGGTGCCTCTGCAGGTGGGACCTGAGACTTACTCCAAACCTCACTTCTGCAAGCATTTTATTATTATCCCGTTTTATAGAAAAGGAAACTGAGGTTCACCTGGCTGAGCAGAGCCTGGGTGCTTTCCCTGAGCCACCTTTCTTGGCACCAGAGACCATTGGGACTGAAGGAGCTTCCTCTACCCCACCCTTTGCAGGTCTGGAGCTCCAAAGCCAAAACAAGAGGGCCCTGCTGGAAGAGGTGAAGGTGCTGCCCGGCCAAGCGGGTGGCGAAAGGACCGTGTCCTGCAGTCCTCGGGAAGCTAAGGCCTGGAGGAGAGAGCACCAGCCTGGGGCGTCCCTGGGCCGACCAGTGGGGGCGCGGCCGGGGCGGCCACCCACGTGCCGGCGCCAGTTCCAGGACCTAGCGGCGGAGAAACCGCATAGCTGCGGGCAGTGCGGGAAGCGCTTCCGCTGGGGCTCGGATCTGGCTCGCCACCAGCGCACACACACTGGCGAGAAGCCGCACAAGTGTCCCGAGTGCGACAAGAGCTTCCGCAGCTCTTCGGACCTGGTGCGCCACCAGGGCGTGCACACAGGCGAGAAGCCATTCTCCTGCACTGAGTGCGGCAAGAGCTTTAGCCGCAGCGCCTACCTGGCTGACCATCAGCGCATCCATACGGGCGAGAAGCCCTTTGGCTGCAGTGACTGCGGCAAGAGCTTCTCGCTGCGCTCCTACCTGCTGGACCACCGGCGTGTGCACACAGGCGAGCGGCCCTTTGGCTGTGGCGAGTGTGACAAGAGCTTCAAGCAGCGTGCACACCTCATAGCCCACCAGAGCCTGCACGCCAAGACGGCCTAGCCCGTGGGGTGAGCAGCCAGTGAGAACAGTGTGGCCTCCTTTGTCCCTGGGCTTCTCCACCAGTCTCAGGCTACTTCTTGGCCTGCTGGAGCAACCCAGGCTCAGTATAGCCCTGCCTGCCTCCCAGGAGGTGCCCTGCACTCCCTGGAACAAAAGTCTGGCTGACCTTGTCTTCTCTTCTTGCTCTGCATTTCTCTTTTCCCTAGTTTCCTGGAGCCTTAGCATATTCCTGGCAGGGGCAGGGGCATCAGGTAGTGTGACGATTCAGGAAGGACCGTGGGAAGAAGCCCTGGGCCTCAGCCAGAGGTGGCCACTGGCTCTTTGTTTCCTGCCTTCTCAGGTGGGTCTGTGGGCCAGGCCCTCTGCCCTGCCGACCTGTGCCTTCAGTGGGGGCAGAGAGCCTCGGTGTCCCCAGGGGTCTGCTTGGCTTTGGAAGGGACAATGGGCCCACACATATGAGAAACTGAGGTCTGGGTCTGGCCACAGGGATATTCTGGCCTTCATTCCCTCCCACTTGCTGGCCATGGCCACTCTGTCCTGGTCTGGCCACAGGAAGCTGGCACATTTGCTCTTGGACGGTGCACCCCCTCCCCACAAGCCCCCATCTACCATTCTGGATGATAGGTGGTTGGAGGCCCCCTGCTGCCCACTCCTTCAGAGGCATGGCCTTGGCTATACTTAACCCTAGCACTCCTTCAGCACATTGTTGCTGACTCCTCAAGCACTGCATTCCATTTTTTGTCTGCATTATGTGCAGATTTGTATGAACAGGGACAGACCAAGGCCCTTCCAAAGAAGTCAGCCCATTGGATCTCAGAAGGGTTTGAATAAACACGGAAACTTCTCTCCAGGCTGTCCATTCTTCAGGTGGCTACTGCAGGGATGGTGGGGGACCTAGAAGTCTGTCTTCATGGCCTGGTCCTTCTGGTGGCTCATGATGCTATATAGTCACCAGATGAAGCCATATCCTGGGCTTGCAGGGCTTGGGTCCCAAAGGGTAGCCAGGAACCCCAGGATTCCACCCCCTCTTCTGTTAGCCTATGTCAGCCCTGGTCTGGGCAACCCTTCTCTTCCTAGCAGGGGACTGAGGGGGCCAAGCAGGAGTTGGGGTCTTGGGGTCTTTTTTTTTGGTACCGGGGATCAAACTCAGGTCCTTGTGCTCGCGAGGCAGGCGGTGGAATCACTGAGCTAAATCCCTGGCCCAAGGACTTGGGGTCCTTACCAGGCGTGCCTCTGCCCCCACTGGTAAAGTGAGCGAAGGGCTAGAGAGGGGCCAACTTGGTTGAGGTTAGGGGACTTTTATTGCTCACTGGGTCTTGAACTCAAAGGTGCCCTGTGGTGGAAGTTCTTAGGAGGAGAGACTAACCAGCCAAAATGGGCCCTGCCCTTGTTCCCCAGCCATCCCTCCACAGCCAGCCTCCCTGCTGCCTGGGCCCAGGTGAGGCCTGCACAGAGCTGGCAGGTGCCTGGTCAGAGCCAGTGGTCACTGGAGTATGACCCCTCTTCTACACTTGCTGACCCCTTCCTGTTCCTTTGGTAGCCTCAAGGTGGCCCATCTAAGAAGAAATGGCATTAGATGGAGACATGGTGTTCCTGTCCCACAACCTGTCCCTGTGTGGTAGCATTTGCCCCAGGGCCCTTCCTTAGCCAGCTTCCAATGTAGCGCACCACCCTGTGGTCCAGCTAGTCCCCATCTCCTGCATGAAGCAACCAAGGTCACAATGTGAACAAAGCTGATTCCAGTTGGCATTTTCTGCCTCTGTGGGTTCAGTGCTGTTGTGTGCATGCACATGTAGTAGTGTGTGTACACACTTGTGTTACATGCATGTGGTCAAGTATGGGTGCAAGGGGTCGGGGGGGGGCAGTAGGAAGACTTTTTAGTGCTGCTGGTTGCCTCCAAAGGGAGGCACTGGAGTATAACAAGATCAGATAGGAGTGTGGGCCAAGAGCTAAGAATAGGGTTGGGTACAGGTTTCAGGCGCAGGTTCCTGGCTCAGGTGCCAGGCAGGAAGTCACTGGCTAGAGACAGAGAACAGAACTGGACTGGGGCAGTGGAGCCCAGGTTTCTGGGGAATGGGGCAGAGCCCAGCTCAGGTCATAAACCAAGCTGAGAGGAGGCATCTTGGGGAGAGGCGAGGGTTAGGACCCAGGGTACTACAAGCCAAGACCAGGAGGTGAGCACCGTGCTTAGAGGAAGCCCCATCTCACCTCCATGGCCTTCTTGGTGTCCGGGACCCTGCAGGTGGCTGCACAGCTGGCGGATGCTCAAGACAGCCTGGGGAGAAAGGTAAGAGGTTCCATTTGGTCCAGCCCGCTCCTGACACCCAGATGTGTCCTCTGCCCAGCTCAGCTCTGACCTTACCTCCCCAGGGGAAGTACAGTATGCATGGGTCATGGGTGGCCCTGACACTCAGCAGCCCTAGGGTGTCTGCCACTACTGTTGCTGCCCTGGACCATGTGTTCCAAGCCCTGGGCTTTGAAAATCATAAGAAGAATGAGGTCTCGGTCCAGGTGAGCCCTCTTCCTTCAGCCTCAGCCCCCGCACCCACCCCCACTAAGCTCGCCAGACTCAGGGCAGACCTTGGCTCTTACCCTTAGGGCATCGTTGAGGAGCTGATTCAGTTCCAAGATCAGCTGGATGCCCAGGGGGGCCCTGTGAGCTGTGCCCTTGCAGCCTTGGTGGCCCCCAGTAGACAGCTGAGGCAGCCGCTGCCACTGGTCCAGGAGCTAAGTCGTTGTGAGGCCTTGCAGGGCTGCCCCAAAGTTTTCCTGCTGCTCTCTAGTGATCCTGGGGGTGAGTGGCTGGGCTGGGACCCCAGATCAAAGTGGGGGTGGGGGTGTGCTGAAGAGCTGGGAGCTTCTCTCCTGCCAAGAGGCGTTCCTGCCTGCTTTTCTACCAGCTGGCTGGGAGCCTGGAGCCTTCCTTGCTGGTCTGGAGGAGATCTGCAGCTGCTCTTGTCACTGGTCCCTGCTGCAGCTGCTCACAGAAGTGGGGGCCACAGAAAGGGTGTAGGGCGTCCAGGCTCACGGTCTCCCCAGCTCTTTGTGCTCCCCTGAGCCAGTTTCAGTTAAGTCCATTCTCATGTACCCTCCCCCGACCTTTATGTGCAAAGGCAGTATGAGTCTTGGAGTGCACCCTAATTCTCCAGGCGCCTCCACATACTCCAGGCTGTCTCCAGCCCCATGTCATGCCCTCCTTGCTGTCTTTTTTTTAATTTTCTTTTTTTTGGTACGGGGGATCGAACTCGGGTCCTTGCGCTTGCACAGCAGGCAGTGAAACCACTGAGCTAAATCCCCGGCCTTTCTCCTTGTTGTCCTATCCAGTCTTACACAGTCCTTTCCAGGCTGTTAGTAGTGTCCTCCTTCCTGACCTCCTGGTATCCACACTGGATACCAGCCCCTTTGACACATACAGGCAGTGACTGTTGCCTGTTAGACTGAGGCACTCAGGCTGGGTGCCCAGGGTCTGAAGGTCTCACTGGGGACCTGGGTGGTGCCTGGAAAATCCTGGAGGTGGGGGATGTGGGCACCAGCTCTGCTCCATGGCTCTCCCAGCCCTGGTGTCTTCCCATGTAGTCCCACCCTAGGAGGCTTCCTCCCCAGCCTGCCCCACCCTCTGTGCCCACTGACCCCTGGGATGGGGGTGGGTGATGAGATAACCACTTGAGGGCCTCGATGCCCGAGGAAATAAATGACCTTTAGACTGAACCAGAGCCTAAGTATTGCCTAAGTCCTGCATTCCCTATTCTCTACCCTCCCTCTGGCAAGTGACCCCAAAGAGCTTGTAGTAGCCCTGAGCCTGCAGTCTTTCCCTGGAGTCAGGTTCTGACTGCCTACTTGCAGTCTGTTCCTCATTCCCTGCAGAGCAGCCCCTCAGGTGGCTGTGGGCTCCACCCTCCTAGCTCTTCTGCAGGGTGACTGAAGAGTCTGCTGGGGACACCTACTGCCTAGTCTTCTGGAGCTCCTTGCCGGGTCCCCTGTGCCTGGCAGGTGTGGAGCCCTGGAGGCCTGAGGTGAGGAAACATGGTGGGGGTCCAACTATGTAGCCACAGTTGCAGATGGGACAGAGGCTGAGACCCAGGTGAGGGAGACGACGAGCTGGGAGTCCCCTCAAACCATACTGAGCACCCACTGGCCTTCTCTGTAGCCAGACCCTGGTCCCAGTGTTCAGTATGACATGTCTGGGGCCAGAGCTGCCCTCGTCCTGGCCATGGTCCAAGACTGGCCTGGGGCACAGAATGACCCGGAAGCACTGGGAGACCTGTGCCAGGCCCTGGGCTTTCAGACTACTGTGAGGCCAGACCCTACAGCTCAGGTAAGGAGAAATCCAGAACTTCTGGTGGTGCTTGGCAGGAGAGGCTTCCCCTCCCCTAGGACTCTGGGACGACCTCCTGGACCTCTCCCACATCATGACCTGAAGTGTACCCACAAGTCTAGCCTTCATCTTCCTGGCCGCATGCATGGGACAGTCACTTTCCCTGCCTCAGGAAGCTGGTCTCCAGGGCTCCCTGCGCTCTTATGCTGGCTGGTCTCTGCTTCCCCAGTGTAAAAGCTTTCCCTCCAACAGTTTTGTTTTCTTTGTTGGAAACACATCAGCCCACTGCCCTCTCCTCATGCCTCTTAACCTATTCCCCACTGGGGCAGGAGAAGAATTGGTTCCGGAAAGCTAGACCTCCACATCGCCTCTAAAGAGCTTGTGCTAAGTGTTGCAGAGTAAGGGCTTCCTCTCTGGACTTGAGGCTGGCTGGCAGCAGGTGGAAGTCCAGTGGCAGAAGATGGGGAAGTGCTCTCAGCCCAGGGTGGGAAGCCAGGGGCCGAGGCCCAGTCTTCAACTTTGTCTCTACTCCAGGCATTCTGGGAGGATCTGGCTCAATTCCAAGAGAGGCTGGACACCTACAAGGGCCCTGTGAGCTGTGCCCTTGTGGCCCTGATGGCTCATGGGGGGCCACAGGGACAGCTGCTGGGGGCTGATGGGAAAAAGGTATAGCCAGAGGCACTAGTGTGGGAGCTAAGCCGCTGCCCAGTGCTACAGGGCCACCCCAAGATCTTTCTGCTTCAGGCTTGCCATGGGGATAAGTGGCCTGGCCTCCTGCCCATCTCTCCTGACTTAGATTTCCTTAGCCAGCCATTGGTCTCCCACTCTTGCTGCCCATCTCCAGGAAGCCTGAGTGCTGGCCCTTCCCACCCCTTCTCCCATTCTTCCTTCCTACAGTCAAGTCCATGAACTTGAGCTCTTAACCCTCAGCCTGGTCAGTCAGTGCTCTGAATGTTTGAGCCTGTCAGGCCATTTCTTGAGCTCTGGGCACTGTGTCCTTGCCTTGACCCCACAGTTTACATGGGGTCTGTACTCTGCAGGCTCCCCACCAAGTGAAATGATCTGGCTCCCCTTCTTTCCCCAGGAAACAGAGATGCTGGGGTGGAGCCACCAGCTCTCCCCTGGTACTGGCACTGGTTCTGCGCACCTCGAGCCACCCCTTCCCAGGCAGCTGTCCTCCAGATCCATGTGCATACCCGAGGTGGGTCTTGCTTTCCTTCCAGAGCCTGGGCTTGGGCGGGGTTGGTGGCAGGAACTGTCCCGAGAACATTTCCAGGGTTCTCAGCTGGGTTCCTGCCATCACCTCTGTCCCCTCTTTGCCAAGATGATGGGAGGGGGGATCTTCCTAAAGTACAAGGGCCTTTGGGAAGCAAGAGCTGCTTCCCTTCATTGAGCCTGGCAGTGACTTGGCACTGAGCTGTGGTCACTGGCAGTGACTTGGCTGAGCTTTGGTCTTCGATTTATCTTTTTTCTCCCTGCATTTTTTTCTACTGTCCTGGGTTGCCTTGAGCCAGAGAAGGGGAGACCCTAGGTCTGGTGGAGTCTCAGGATGCTGTGATTGGAGTGGGCTCCTTTTGCAGGCAGCCCTTCCAGAGGCCCCACTTCAGGGAGCTCTGACCTGGCAGACGTTCTGACAGTGTACGCAGCCACTGAGAGTAAGATGCCTGTTGGCCTTTATGTGGGGTCTGTTTCCTGCTTTATGACCTGGAGTGACCTTAGGGACAGAAGGGCTTGAGGTTGGGGGGACACAAGAGCCAGCTGAGTTGCATTTAAGCCATCTTCCTTCTATGGTTTATTATTTGTATTAAGAGTAATGATGGCCAAGTGTGGTGGCACATGCCTGTAATCTTAGCATTTGAGGCAGGAGGTTGAAGCAGGAGGACTGTGGTAAGTTTGAGGCCAGTCTGGGCTACATAGTGAGTTTAAAGCCATCTTGTACTTCATAGTGAGACCCTGTCTCAAAAACCAAACAAAAGAGTAATGATAGTGAGCATGTATCGTGCTAACTGTGCCAAGCACTCTGTGTGGATAATTTTCTCCACGCTGTAAGTTCTACAAGGGCTCTGCTCAGTGCCCAGTACCTAGTAGGACCACAGTAAATGTTCACTATTGAATCTACTCACATGTTTGCTTTGCAGATATAGAGCAATAATTTATTCCAGATGTAAGAAATTCCTGCCCCCTGCCCTGTTCTCTGGCAGGATCCCTGGGATCATCTCTGCTTGCTGCCTCCCACTCCCACCTACAACTGGCCCCTGGGAGGTGGGATGTAGTGGGCAGAGGTCTAAGTTAATTCTCTGGCCCTGGTTCCCTGACCTAGGCTCTGTAGCCTATTGGGACGAGAAGGGGTCAGACTTTGTCCAGATGCTGGTGGAAGTCGTCAGAGCCAACCCTGGGGGAGACCTTCTGGAGCTGCTGACAGAGGTGTGAGTGGTGGGTGATCAGCAGAGAAGGCTGGCTGGGGCCTTCTCCCAGCCCTGGTGTTCTGATCACCTCAGGTCAATCCTTTGGTAAGGAGGCATTCCCCTGCTCTCAACAATATGAGCTGACCAAACACTTGTCAAATGAGATCAACAGAAGTTGTCACTCACATGCACTAAAGGCCAGGGGAGGAACACACTGAAGGCCATGGGGGTCCTTGGGAAGCACTAGGGAGCAGAGGGTACCAGGAGGGGCTGTGGGAAGTGTTCTTCATAGAGACAAGAAGGTGAGGTGTTCCAGGGTGCCTGACAGGGATGGGGTTGGTTTGAATAGTTAGGCAGCTGGCAGGGAGGTGAAGCTGGTTTTGCTGAGGCTGAGGTGGGTGCAGGTAGTCTGGCTGATAGGGGAACTATGGGTGAGGAGACTCTCCCACTGGTGGGGGTCCTTTCTTTTCCTTGTTTTCTTTTTATGCAGTACTGGGCTTTCGAGTTGAAATGCATCCCAAGCCTTTTTTCATGTTTTAAATTGAGACAGGGAGGCCAGGCCTGGTGGTGCATACCTGTAATCCCAGCACTTGGGAGGCTGAGGCAGGAGGATCACCTATAAATTTGAGGCCAGTCAGGGCAACATAGTGAGTTCAAGGCCAGCCTGAGGTACACACAGAGAGACCCGGTCTCAAACCATCACCCCCTCAAAAAAAATTGAGACAGGGTATTGGTAAATTGCCCAGGTTGGGCTCAAAATTGTAATCCTTCTGCCTCAGCCCCCCAAAGTACTGGGATTACAGGCACATGTTATCACACCCGGAGCTGCAGGGCTTTTCTGACAATATCGGGGAACTCGTGTTAGGCCTTTGGGGCCCTGTGAGGCTCAAAGATGTCAAGGTAGTGATTGAAGCTTAGGCCTTATAGAATAGCAAGGGAGGGTTGCAGCGGGTGCTAGGTTGAGCCCTGCGGGACCTAAGGTCCTGGGCTCAGGCTGAGTGTGGTCCCTCAGGTCAACAGGCGGGTGTGTGAGCTGGAAGTGCTGGGCCCTGACAGCGAGAAGCGATGCTCCCCGAAAGGCCTTCCTGGAGATACGCAGCTCACTCCGGCGCCAGCTTTGCCTGCAGGCCTGACCGCCCTGCTTCATCCACAGCATCCAGCTTCCTCTGCAGCATCCAGCTTCCTCTGCAGCATCCAGCTTCCTCTGCAGCATCCAGCTTCCTCTGGGCTACCAGTCTCCGCGCTTTGGACGCGGACGCCTAGATGATGCACAATAAACATCTGTTGATGGTCGCTGCTTTGGGACAGTAGTTGGTCTTGGAGATCTGTAAATAAGTGAGATGATGGATGTAAAGTACTTGGCACAACTGTGCCCCTGGGAACTGTGCCCCTTGTCTGGGTCTAAGAAATACAATGAGCTGGGCTGAGCTGGACTTGGGAGTGGCTCAGGGCCCACATTCCCCTCGCAGCCTTGTCCCCAGTCTCCACCTGGTGCTGGGCCTCTGCCTTCCCGGCAGGTCCAGCCCAGACGGTCAGAAAGAGACCATCACAGATTCACCAGTGCCGCGATGGGACAAACTCAGGGCCGGGGGAGCGGTGGGCAGTCCTGACACAGGCAGCGGGCAAGTAGGGGAGGAGATGGGAAAGGTAGGGGCGACTAGGTTCACCGGACGCCGAGCGGTCCTTGAAGACTGCGCAGAACTTCCGGACTCAGAGCCCTGAGGGGCGGGATTTCAGTCTGAACCAGCCTGCTGGGGCGTACTGCGCAGGCGCTCAAACAAGCTTTATGGAGAAAGCTGTAAGCCAAACCAATGTGGGGCCGCGTGGCCTAATGGATAAGGCGTCTGATTCCGGATCAGAAGATTGGGGGTTCGAGTCCCTTCGTGGTCGCTGCGGAGTGGTTTTTTTCTTGTTGTTGTTGTTTTTTTTTTCTTTTCGTTTCTTTTTTTTTTTTTTTTTTTTGGCTTGAAAGTTTTTCTTTTCGCATGATGTGCCCTGCGCCAGCCTAGGGCACTTTAAATGCCCGGGTCTCTCGCTCCCGTCGTCCTGCTGTCGAGCCAAGGCCAGAGCCAAGGTTGCGGCTAGGTCCATCCCAGGTACTGGCCAGACAGTATAAAGCTAGAGACAGCGAGCTACGAGAATTTGTGTTCAGGCTGTGAAAAGTGACAGACGCGTGTTCGGGTTGCTTGGGGTGAGGGTCCGGAATTGTTCCAGGGGATCAAAGGACGTATGAATTAAAAAATCTAATAGTCTATTATGCTGATGTTCCACAATATAGTGACCATAACTAGGACCACTGAATTGTAAACTTGAAAATGGGCAACTCACTGAGACTCCTTCTCAAAAACAAACTAAATTAATTAAATAAAAAAGGAAAAAAAATGAAAGGCTGGGAACATAGCTGTGTTCAACTTCCAGTTCCTCCTCCCACACAAAGGTTAGAAACAGCAAGTTTTGTTAACATTTTTTTAAACAGTGAAATAAAGCTGGTATGGTGGCTCACTCCTGTAATCCCAGCACTCAGGAGGCAGAGCCAAGATGTTGGTCAGCGTGACTGAGTTCAAAGGCAACCTGAACTACAGAAAGACCGTGTCTAAAAGCAAACAAAATTTAATAGATTATTTAGTTTTTGCAATGGTTCTGTACTCGTAAATGGCTAGTATAAATGTACATTTAACATTTTAAGAGTTAGAGCATTGAGTTGACATTTCGCCTGGAAACATTTTTCTCAGATAAACTCGAGTTCTGGCCAAAGTGTAGTGACGCGGAATAATCCAAATGCAGAGCAGCGGTGCCCTGGCAACGGACGGGCGGCGGGCGCAGGTGTCCTGAGGTTGTGCGGCCTCGCTTTAACATTTCCGAGATGTTTCCGTGTTTTAATAAGGGCTCATTAAGTACAGGTAAGTTGTATAAGAACAACTTCAAGAGGTCGAAAAACCCAAAGGACGTGCCAAGAAGATAACGGGGGAAACCTCAGGTTAGCGGATCTTTAAAAGAAAAAAAAGGGAGCCCGGCGTATCGCCACGAGTTTGAGGCCAGACTGGGCTACGTAGTTCAAAACCGACCTAAACTACACAGCGAGACACTGTCTGAAACAAAAAACCAACCAACAAACACAAAGTACCCGGTAATTGATGTAAGGAACTCGGGAAAGAAGGACTGAGTCCGATGTGTTTCCCATGCTACCATTCGGGTGGGGAACTGGCCATTCATTGTAGAGCATATTTACATATTTTTCCATATGCAGTGTACCTGTATTAAAGGACTCGTCCAGGATTTGAACCTGGGCTTCCTAGCATCCGGAGCGAGACATAAGGACTGGGGATGGCGAATCTATGGCATGTGTGCCACAGCGGGCTGTTTGTATCACTGAAAGCTCTGTTATTGTGTTTTTCTTTTAATGTATGAGTTGTTTTTTCTAAACTAAAACCTCAGTAGTCAGGTTTAATGGCAGTGTTGGCCCTTTGCAATAAATAAGTCGGTTTGGGTTGCATTTTGGGCACTCAGTCTCTAAAAGGTTTGCCATCATGCACCAATAAACTGGGATAAAACTCCCTTTTCTGTGCCTATCAGGTCCATTTCCACCTGCGCATCGCCTCTGGATTTCCAAGTTGCCCTAGAGTGGGTACGATCTGAGTAGGAGTATGGAGAACTGAGAACCCACCAGATGGAAGAACAGGAGAAAGGCCAGGATGAGACAGAGGCTGTGTGGGATCCCGTGGGAGCAATGTTGAGACTGGTCCAAGACCAACTGAATACTTTTTTTCTTGTCAGCTCTGGTGGCCTAGTGGATAAGGCATTGACCTCCTAAGCCAGAACTTGTGGGTTCGAGTCTCACCTGGGATACAGAGGCTACTTTTTAGGTCTTTAAGAGAAATTGGAAAAAGTGAAATGTAGCTAGCTAACTATACTACACGACATATTCCCCCAGCAGAGGAACACAGCAAATTGATAAACTTCACAGAGCTTTAGGTTCATACTAGTTAGAAGGTAACTTTCAGAGAAGATGTGTATGTTTTCAACTTTTAGAAAAGAGTGCTTGTATTCTTTATTTTAGGGAACATTCATTCAGCTTCATGATACAAGAAAAAATGGATTGTTCCTTTTCTAGGTGAACAAATGTATTGTGATTGTGTGTGTCTACACACATATATATTTAGGGGAGGGGGTGCTGGGGATTGAATCTAGGACTTCTTGGTTGTCCATACTCTACCACTGAGCTACATCCTTAGCTCCCCCTTTTAATATGTATTGTATTTATTTTGAGCAGGATCTTGCTATGTAGTTCAGGCTAGCCTTGAACTTACTATGTAGCTCAGGCTGGCTTCAAAGTCACAGTAATCCTCCTTCCTCAGCCTCCCCAGTGCTGGGATTACAGGTGTGAGCCACCGCTTCCAGTGTCATATGCATTTCTAAATCACTGTCCTTTACAGACACATTAAAAAAAGAATACGTAAAACAACTAATTTTCTTAAAATCGCGGGCTGGATGGAAGTATAGACAAAACAAGCTTGTCCATGAGCTGATCATCATGTAAACCGAGGGACACAAGGGTACACAATACTATTTTCTCTGCTTCAGTACATGTTTGAAATAGTCTGTAATAAAGTTTTCCTTTTTTATCCATCTAATATGTAGGTAACCCCAGACTCAGGTCCTTGTTCGGGGTGCCAACTGTAGGTGAGCCCGGGTCCCAAGCCCTATGCTGGTCTTGTCCTGGGACCTAGACCTGCCACTTTGTTATCTCTGATCTGGGGGTGAATGAGGCTGAATGACAAAGAGACATGGAGTTAGCTCAACATGCAGGCAGCCAGGGGCTCTCACCTGTAGCAGGCAGAAGAGCCCCATGCCTTTGGCACACTTTGCCTTTATTCACACAAATACAGGCACAAGCAATCAAAGTAATGTAAGATACATCTGCTTTCCAATATCCCCATTAGTACATATGCTGGTTAACAGCTTACTCTCAGCTGTCTTAAGTTTTCCCTAATATGCAGTCACCCTTGAGTGCAGCCTTTCTCCTTTGTGCTCATAGAGGAGGCCAATTAGGCCTCAATTCTCCCCTGGTCTCAACACTAATACATGACTTTAAGCTGGGCATGGAAGGTGGCATATGCCAGTAATACCACGCTTGGGAGGCTGAGGCAGTTGGATTTGGATTGTGAGTTGGAAGCCAGCCTGGGCTACAAAGAGAATTCAAGACAAGTCAGAGCTAAACAGAACAAAACAAGACATGATTTCACTCTTGAGGTAAAAAATCTCCCCAACTACAAGGGATGGTGTAGAGTAAAATTGGAAGCCTCCTATGCCCCCAAAGGAACCATTGCTGAAGCCGTGTCACAGATTAAAACAGAGTTCTGGGGGGTGGAGGTGTAGTTCCATGATACAGCACTTGCTTACCATGCTCAAGGCCCTGGTTTTGATCCCTGGGACCACACAAGCCCTGTGGCTTTGCTCCTCCCACTTCTCTGAACACCCTGGACCCCATCCCCATCATCTCTGCTAAAGTCAGGGGTCTCATCTCAAAGCCATTACATTTCACTGTTCATACACTGCCTGCAGACAATGGCCACCACAGAGTTATTTAAGGATGCTAATGCTTCCCCGACCAATAGTTTCTCTTCTCTTCTCTGGGCCTTCCCAGCAGGACAGTCATGGACATGTCATGCAGAAGAGACTCACTCCAATATTCTACTCACTGAGTTTGACAAGTTGAGGCAGGAGGATCACAAATTCAAGGTCAACCTGAGCAACTTAGATTTGAGACCCTGTCTCCAAGTTTGTTTGTTTCTTGTTTGAAACAAAGTCTTACTATGTACTTCAGGCTGGCTTTGCACTCACTATGTAGCCCAGGCTGTCTTCGAAGTTGCTGCCATCCTCCTACCTCAAAAAATTAAAAAATTTAAAGAGGCCCAGGGATGTAGCTCAATGTTTAATCCCTAGTACCAAACCAAACAACCACCAATGTTTTTTTTTTGGGGGGGGGGTACCGGGGATCAAACTCAGGTCCTTGTGCTTGCACAGCAGGAAGCAAGACCACTGAGCTAAAACCCCAGCCTGACAACCAAGGTTAAGAAGGAACTTTTGTGTACATTTTGTTTATAAAATTTATGTAAATTTCAACTTCAGAATGTAGAATTAATGACACCAGAATCAATAGTTTTGGAGGCATTTTGTGGTGTGCTGGTCAAACCTCTAGGCTCTGGGTCTGTCTCCTTGATCTGGCAACAAATTCTCCTGTGGAGGACAGTAAATTGAGTTAAGTGGAGTCAGCTGCCTCAGTCCACTTGGTCTCAAAGCATTCACCTTTTTGTCGCCGACAAAAGTTACGCCCAACGTGGGGCTCGAACCCACGACCCTGAGATTAAGAGTCTCATGCTCTACCGACTGAGCTAGCCGGGCTACACAGTGAAGTGAGCTCCCTACAGACTAATTGGAGTGTTGCAAGAGTTGCAAGCGCCCAAACTGGTAGGGACTTGTTCCGGATCCGAAGGACCTGCATCGCGGGTGCTGGAGTGCTGCTGAGCCGGCGTAGACCAAGCCTGCAGTTTGGTGAAAACCCCACTTAAGGAATGAGTGGTGCTGGGGCCAAATAGTGGTCGATCCTCAAATTCAAACTCAGCACCCTCAGGTCCTCGTCGAGGGAACAAGCCGGGGAGACCTCCTCCTTCCCAGAATCTCACTAAGACCCTGTATCCCTGGCCAGGGCAGGTGGGAGGCAAAGTTTGGAGAGTTCGCAGGCCGCCCGTTTGGGAAGAGAAGAATCCTGACCCCAGCTCTGATTCCTGTGTCGGGGTCTCAGAGTTGCGCAGGTTTTCCTGGCCGACCTAGGTCACAAGGTGCTTGGCTGAGGTCGGGACCCCGCGGGGTCTGGCGGGGCCCTGGCCCTCCCGGCCGGCCGGTTGGGAGGCGGCAGTCCTCGGTTTCATTCTCGTTGGTCTCGGGCTTGGGGACCCCGCAGGATGAAAGTTCTGGGTTGGCATCTGCCGTGAGACCCCGACGCTCACGCAGGCTGCTCAGGCTCCACTCCCTTGTGGGCACGGCCGCAGCCACTGGTCTTCCTGACGGCTCAGACGTGGGCCGGGGACTTGGGGCTGTCTTCTTTCTGCGAAGGCCCCTGAACCGCCCCACCTACTCTGGGCTCCCTGAAACTGGCGCCCAAATACGCCCTGCGCAGCCTTAGGGGACGAGCCCGGAGGCCAGCCCCAGGCGGGGCGGAGCCGGGGGCTCAGAACTGCAAGGATCCTAGTCAGCTTTTTCCTCTAGGGCGGCTCGTTGGTCTAGGGGTATGATTCTCGCTTTGGGTGTGAGAGGTCCCGGGTTCAAATCCCGGACGAGCCCACTTTTTTCTGCGGACACACTCTTGGAGTCCCGGCTCTGGGACGCAGCGGCTGGGGCCCTGGGACTGAGGCTTGGAACTCAGAGTTCTGGGTGTGGCTGAGGAATGGAACCCAGACAAAGGAGTGTGAGACCTAGCCCCAGGGATCCAAGAGGAGGGCAAATCCCTTCCCCGACCCTGTCTCTGCAGATGTGTAGGTGACACATGCCAGGCAATTGTGGGGTCTCAGGATGGAGCTTGCTCTGAGCATACAGTTCTAAGTGTCATGAGTTTAAATACTGGATGAGCCCTCGTTTTCAAAGCCCTTCCCTCTGCCTTCGGTACTGGGGATCGAACCCACATCCTTCACACTGAGCTACATCCCCAGCCCCCCCCCCCTTTTTTTAAAGACAGGGTCTCCCAAGTCTCTAAATCCAGGCTGGGCTCCAATTTGTGATCCTCCTCCCGTAACCCCAGAGTACTGGCATCACAGGTGTGCCTTTTTCTTTGGAGGGGCTGTCAGAGGCGCCTTCCACAACAAAGAGGAGGAAAGGAGCCAGAGGATGGGGCGGCTGTGCTCCAGACATGGGTCTATTCTCCACGTTAGAAGAGAGGCAACGCTTTAATAGGTTATGTTAATCCTGGTACGGTGAGGCCAGCAGAGGAGAAGACACTGCTGTTGAAAAAACAAATTTTTTTTTGTTGCTCCCAGTTTTCAAGAGGTGGGGGCATACCACCATAGGCTCCAAAACAAAGTGAGGGTGAGCAGATGGGAGGAGAGATAATCAGGAGCCTGTACAGTGGTTTTCCTGGAAGGAGCCAACCAGGAAGTAAGCAGGTTTGGATTGGCTGGTTTGAGTAATTTCAGTATCTCTGGGGCATGGAACTCTCCCTAGTTGTCTAGTACCTGGCCCTCGGTGACTAGGGCAGATGGACAGTAGCCAATGGGTGAGGACCCCATAAAGGGGGTCACTGGGGGTAGGCGAGGGTGGGTTTTGGTTTGGTGAGTTTGCATTTGAAGATGTACAGTCCTGGAGGAATTGTTTGCTATCTCTAGGAACTGGCTCACCTAGGAGGTGTGGTCTCTTCACAGCCAATGAAGCCCCCAGGTCAAAGCATCAGAATGCAAAAAATAAGAGATGGTTAATTATGTCAGGGACTGAGGGTTTTGGCAACTTTGGGGCCTCTCAAGCTGGGAAGAATGACCCAATCTGGGTCCTAGAGTCAAGTAGACCTGCAGATTACTGTCCCTGTCAGGTGAGCTGAGCACAGAGTGAGAGCTCCAGAGTATGTACCCACTTCACCAGTGGGCATTGCCTCTGGCCTAAACACATAGCGCTCTCTCTCGCTCTCTCTCCCTTCTTTCTCACACTGGGTCTTGCTGTGTAGTTCAGTCTGGCCTTGAACTCACTATGTAACCCAGGATGTCCTTGAACTCAAAGAGATCTTCCTGACTCAGCCTCCCAAATGCTGGGATTACAGGCATGTGCCACCATACCGTACACAAATCTTTCTTCTTAATCGCAGGGTCTTATGTGCTGGGGGTCCCTTTCATGCTCCTGACCCTCAGGCTCCTAACCACAGTCAGGTCATTTGCTCAGAACCTGGGCCCACTAAATTGCCCGAGGAGCCCTCACTGGTCCCTGAGTAACCAGGATCCTCTCCAATCCCTTTTCCCGAGCCTGAACATATTAAGACTCTTGCTCTTTAGGGCAAAACCATTATCAGTCCCATTAGCTGAAGAGTGCCACTTCCAAATCTGTGGCATCGCTCCTTCGTGCAGGACCTAATCCCTTCCATTAGGTTGCTGCTGGGTTCTGTCCCCTCTACAGAGTCAGGCCCTGCCTCTAGCGACACTCAGCCACCATTTGTCTAGTGAATGAAAAGCAGATAGTTTAAGGGATAGATTACACAGAGGAGGAATGTCCCTGGGAACCAGATCTTGTACTCTATTTGGCTTCAAAGCCCAGAGGAGCTACATTTGCTTTTCTGGTCAATTGATGGCATGGATGGAGTCCCCAGCAGACCTGTGGGAATAGATGGGAGATAGGACCAGCACATGGTGAACCAGATTTGAGTTGGACCTCAGTGGCCAGACTGGGCCTGGGCACTGAAACCAGGTTTGCAGGTGTATGAAGAGGATGGAGAGGCTGTCTTCTGAAGAGCTGCCCGATTTCTTCCACTTAAGCCCCCCACCCTCTGCAGGGCCCTCCTGGGTGGCACCTAAGCTCCCATGTAAGGTTTGCATTCCTGGAGGAGAGTCCTTGGGCCTGAAGGGGCAGGTGAAAGAAGCTGGGGAGCTCCAGGGAATTATAGGCTGACAATAGCAAGAAAGGGGACAGCTGATAGAAACTGACAATTGGAAATCAGCCTGAGTAAGCTTACCTAGGGTAACAAGAGCCTGTTACTAGCCTGTTGATCTAGGGGTGTGATTCTCACTTAGGGTGAAACCTGTCCCAAGTTCAAATCCTAGACAACCCCTAGTTTTTTGTTTTTTTGGTTTTTTTGGTACCAGGGATCGAACTCAGGACCTTGTACTTGTGAAGCAGGTGGCAGAACCACTGAGCTAAATCCCTGGCTGACAAGTCCTCCTTTTAAGGACAAACAGGATGGCTCCCGTGAGCAATGTGACAAAGGCCCAGCCTTCATTAGGGGATCCTTTTTGGTAGTGGTTCCCTTTGGTTGCGAGTGGTTGGGGTCTGCTTTGCCTTCACCTTCTGGAAAGAGCAAACAGGTGGATTCCATCCTGCTGTTGACCTGTGCCTGTGGCCAGGGAGTTGCTGGAGTAACACCTCTCTCTGAAAGTGAAAGTCCTAGCAAAAGTTGCTTTCTAGACTGCACAAGGGCTCTTCTGCAGATGCACAGTTGTAGCAGAGCCTGGCTCTGCTATAAATCATCTAGCTCTAAATCTCAGACTTGTTTCTAAAGTTTCTTAAGCAGGACAGGAACAGCTTACGGGGACCTTTGGTGGGCTAATGGTGAGATGTTAGGGTACAGCTGACAGGAACTGGTCAGTTACTTCCTTTCCATCAGTCTCCTTATACCACCAGCAAGTCTGAAGTTAAAAGAGCACCCAACAGGGGCCTCAAACCCACAACCCTGAGATTAAGAGTCTCATGCTCTATTAACTGAGCTAGCCAGGCAACTACAAGTTATCACTGAAGTCATTTAACTATCAGCTAATCAAAATGCTAGAGCTGGTCGTGGTCCCAGAAAAAAAATGATACAGATGTGGCCATCTTGATGTACCTTTCTGCACCCTGCGTTTGGAGACTTCCAGGAGACAATGCTGCCTCCCTTAGATCCTGCGGTGCCGCCAGCAGAAATGGGTTGGGAATTGTACGCCGTCAGCTGGGAGCTTCGTGGCTGCTGCGCAGGGGACTTCAAGGCAGTTCTAGGTGGGGTTGAGGTTCAGGGTTACACCGACCTAGGAATCGACAGACAAGATTTAGTGGCCACCCGGGGCCCTCTTCCGTGAACAGGATTCAGGGGTAGACACGTGCAAGCTGATCCCACCAAAAAATAACCGCAAAAAATAACAAAATAAATCATCTGTGTGCGTATCTGTTAATAATCTTTTCTTATTCAAGTTGAGACTGCGGGTTCTTACCATGGCCAGGCCTCCATTGACACTCCCAGGCTGGGTGAAAAAGGGGAGCCTGTTACTGCTCCCACGTGGACAAAAGGAAAGTTGGGCCAACGTCGATTGAGCTTGCAGGTCGGTCGGAAGGCCCGTGGGGCCCTGGATTGCAGGACGAGGTGCCTCAGTAGCCGCTGTACAAATTCAAGAAGTGAAAGGGGAGGTGAGGAGAAACGGGGCGGGGGTCGAAGCGGTCTATTTCATGAGGCACCGGAGTTCTGGAGCCCCGCTGAGCACCCCGCCCTCCCCGCCCCCCGGAGGTTATCAGAAGCAGCAGCGCAGGCGGGGCCGAACCGCTCCCCAGCACGGTGCCCGGGCGGCTGGGCCGAGGGAAACTGGCCTGGAAGCCACACACGAGTGGCGGAGCGCGGCGTGTTCTGAGCGGAAGCTGCGCCGCCGTCCCTCAAACTGCTCAATTTGGGTCTCAAACTCAGGACTCGGAGATTAGGGACTGGCCGCCGGCTGGGTTAGGGAGCGAAATGACTGCCATCAGAGCCAGCTGCGCGCTCTTGCATAACGGGGACCCGCGGCTGCTGCAGCCGATCTCGTCTCATCGTCTCAGGGTTCCCGCTGGATTCTTTGCTCAAATACTCGAATCTCTGCTGCTGAAGGGGGGGCGGGGGGAAGGGCTCGTTCAGGATTTGAACCCGGGATCTCTCGCACCCTAAGCGAGAATCATACCCCTAGACCAACGAGCCAGCCCTTTAAAATTGTTTGCTTACTTATTCCCAGCCACCTCCACGCCATCTCCTGGGTCTTAGAGAGGTCCTGACCTAGAACAGAGGCCCCAGGCTAAAAATCCTAACAAATGGGAGGTGCACAACGCGGAGGTGAAAAGATTCATATTCTGCAGCTAGCTGAGGTAGGGGCAGCAGGGGATGGATGTAGGGTCCCAGCTACCAGGAGTCCCCGAGCGGGGACTGTGCTCACCTGTTAGAACGCCAGAGGGCCAGCTCTGTGGTAGTCACATCTATGTCGTCTCTCCAAATCTGCACCCAGCTTTGTTTTTTTTTCTTAGTACCTACCTTTAGGACACAGGATAGTGCAGCAGGGAAGGGTATACCTACAGCTCCCCGGCTAGCTCAGTCTGTAGAGCATGAGACTCTTAGTCTCAGGGTTGTGGGTTCGAGCCCCATGTTGGGTGTAGAGTTTTGATTACTACAGAAGCCATTGGTACACCAAGCCACCAAGAAAGTATGATTTCAGAGGATTGCCTCTCAACCCTAGCGTGTTGTCATCTATCTCTGGAACACCAAACCAGGTCAACTGCTGTCAAGTGGGTCTTGGGGACCCAGGTGCTGGGGCTGCCATTTGAGCTGGCCTCAGCACTTTTTTGTGGTGCTCTTAGAGTAAGAGCAATAACTCATAGATCATACCACTAAGTGAAATAAGTCAGACATAGAGGTTAAATATTGCATGCTTTCTTTACTATGAGAGATCCAAAATATAAATAAAAAAATTTTCAAAATATAAATAAATTAAAGAGTAAAATAAAAGAGCTATATTAAGAAACAGGGAGGTAGAGTCTGTAAAGATGGGAAGGCGATCTGAGAAGGTGGAGGGGGAAGATAGGGGCAGTAAAACTGGTCAGGATGCAATATATCTATGTACCAATCCCCCAAGCTGAATGTAATCACTATGTATGAGAAACATACACTAATAATTTAAAAAAAGATTAGGGAGGTACGAGAGAGGCTCTCATGCTTTTGTCCTTAAAAAAAAAAAAACAACTAGGGGGCCGGGGATGTAGCTCAGTGGCGCTGCACCTGTCTAGCAAGTGCAAGATCCTGAGTTTGATCCCCAGTACAGAAATGAAAAAACAAAACAAAATAAACAAACAAAAAATTCATGTCCAGTGCACTAGGTAGGTAGCTCCATGCACCTGCGTAGCTTTTTTTTTTTTTTTTTTTTTGGTACCAGGGATTGAACTCGGGACTTTGCCCTTGAAAGGCAGGCGCCGGAACCACTGAGCTAAATTCCCGGCCCCCTGTGTAGCTTTTTGAAGAAAAAAAGTCTTACTAATGTAGTACCCGTATTCGTTTTTGTCACAACTGTCACAAATTATCACAAACCGGGTGGCTTAACACAAGAGAAACATACTGTCCCTGTTCTGCAGGCCAGCAATGTGTCAGTGAGGCATCTCCTTCTTCACTTCTCCCAGCCTCTGATGGTTTCCAGCCATCTTCCGGCAGTTCCTTGTCCTGTATACACCTCCCTTCCATTTGGCTCTGCCCCCACATGGCCTTCCCTCTGTGTGTCTGTCTCCTATACTACTGTTTCAGGACAATAGTTACAGAGTTAGACCCATCCCATCCCACTACAACCACATCTCGACTTATTATAGCTGTAAAGATCCTATGTTCTGAGGTGGACATGAATTTGAGGGGGAGAGGACGCTATTAAATCCAGTCGTGTACCTTTTAAAAAAGAGTATATAAGGTTTTCCACCCTCCCAACCACCAGCCCCAGACGTGCGCCTCGGGTCAAGCGAGTTTCGCCAGGCCCAGGAAGGAGTCCGGGGTCTGTGCTGATCCAGTGCGTTCTGTCCTCCCCCAAGGCCGCCCTGTCCTCGCCTCGGCGCCCAAAGCCGCCACGTGGCTATAGCCCCCAAATTCGGAATCTTTCCTTGACCCTGGCCCTGCCCACAGCTCTTCTCTTCAGGGGGTCCTTGATCTGGGGCAATTCTGGGCGTGCACCCGGCCTCCAGCTTTGGCTCACCTGAGTGCCCAAGCCGATGGGAAGACAGAAGGTCGCCCTGGCTGGACCTAGAGCCGCACCGCGGAGCGAAACAGTCCCCGCTCCAGGCCCGCAGCGGCCTCTGAGCCTTCCGGGTTTACTGGGCGCCAGAAATCAGGGTTGGGGGCGTGGGCAGGGGTCGCAGAGGACACCTTGGGGGTTTTAAAGTGCGAGCCGGTCCGAGTTTTGGACCCAGAACTTCTTCCAGGCCTAGCCTCATGAGCCACTATATAGGCAGGGACTCCTTGTTCCGTCTATTTCTAGTTATCTGGGCCCCGAACCCCTAACCTCGCTGCCTAAAAAAGCTGCTCTCTAGTTTCGCATCCGGGAGAGGGAGGGACGACTGGGGGGGAAGTTTGTTAGGATGGGGGGGGCAGGGAGAAGGTGGTTTAGGCCCACTGCCTCTGGCGGGTCCGGCTCCAGCCTGGGGTTTCCAGGCCTCTGTCTGTCTCTTTGAGTGGGCGTGTCTTCCTTCCTTTCGGTCCACCTCCCGAAGTTCCCCGTAGGGAGATCCACCCCCTCGCTGATTCCAAACCTGAGACTCCAGGGCAATTTCCCCCAGTAATAGCGGAAGGGATTTGTGGACAATGGTAACTACAGACACTTAGGTAATTCCTGTACGTAGCCCGGCTAGCTCAGTCGGTAGAGCATGAGACTCTTAATCTCAGGGTCGTGGGTTCGAGCCCCACGTTGGGCGTAGTTTTTAACCACATCCACTACTTCTAATCAATATACTGGGACCCCTTGTGGCATTCTGAGTTAAAAGTAAAAGGAACCAGCACTCCTGGGCTCGTCCGGGACTTGAACCCGGGACCTCTCGCACCCGAAGCGAGAATCATACCCCTAGACCAACGAGCCAACTGCTTGAAAAAGTGTCTCCAATACGTCCTTCACATATCTCCCATTTCCGCATGCCTGGGGCACATTCCCAAAGGAGCTAAGCCCTTCCTTGCAGACAGGCCCTGAATAGAGAATCCTTGGAATCAGCCCAGTGCAAAGGACTGCTTCACAATTGACAGAGGCAGGGATGGTTAATTCCTGTCCCAAAAGAAAAGTGTGTGTGTGTGTGTGTGTGTGTGTGCGCGCGCGCGCGCGCGCACGCGCACGCGCCTAGGGGCCTTGAATGAGAAGGCATTTTGAAGAAAGACTGCTGTCCGGCTGAGCCCAGGGGCTTTAGAGCCGAGACTGCGGAGGGGGATAGAAAGGAGGGAGTGGATGGTCATCCAGTCAGATTCACCTTTCCACGGAGCTCTCAGCACCCTAGCCTGTCTGAGGCTGGGAAGAAGGGCACAGTTCTTTGGCTGTGGCAGTTCAGCCAGTCCCCTACAGTCCTGAGATTGGAGCCCTGCTGTCCAGTCTCCTTTTTCCCTAATTGGAGCCCTAGAACTTCCCGGGCATCTGGAAGGCTCAGCCCAAGGTTCCCATACCTATGCTGCTAGGGGAACACATGCGCTCTGAGAAGGTCCCTTAGGAGCAGCTGAGTTAGCTGAGGCCTCAGGTCAACAGACAGGCAGACCCGGCTGGCATTTGGTCACATGGGTAGCTTTGTGGGTGGAGCATTCGACTCTTCTTCCCAGGGTCAGGGGTTGGTATATCTTTTACTACACCTGGCCTACAAGGATGGCATTGGAGAGTCCCAATTCGCTGTGGATTTTGGCCCCACACGGCCTAGTTGGCTGAACCAGCCTGAGAAGGGCCTTCTGTTTGCGCATGTTGGAGAGACTTGTTTGTAAAAGCCAGTGTTCTTCATCCCAGGGAGCCATACTGAGTGACTGTCCTCAAAGATGTCTGTGTCCAGTACTGTCATCTGCCTCCCAGGGGGCCCGTAGATGACTTGCCACCCTGGAAGGCCAAGGCATAGCAGAAGGCAAGGACCAATGCCCAACACCCAGGGCCTCCTTACTTGAATTAGCAAAGGCCCTGGGGAAGAATTCTACAAGGGTTTTCCTCCTCAGGGACCACAACACAGCAATGCTGTACCTTATTAAAAGAGAAGAAATTCTGGTAACCTGGCTCCTCCAGCATTTGACCCTCCTCTATTCTCAGCAAGAATCTCAAGTTGGATCCATGAACCACCCATATCACCTTATTTCTCTGTTCACCTTTATGCCAGTTTCCACCCTGGCTCAGTAACACTGTTCAGAGCCCAGTCCCCAGGGGATTGTGTTGGAAGAGAGTATGACTCAGGTTCGATCAAGTAGAGGAAGGTGGGGATCCCAATCCTTACTAGTTTGGGAGTCCCCACCATCTACTCTGTTCTTGCCCCTCTTCCTATTAGAGACCTCCAGCCCAGGGAGGTGGCTGCCAGGATTCTCCCAGAAGCACCCAGTGCAGCTGGAGGGAGCAAGTCCTTGGGATTGCCAAGTTGCCCAACCTACTTTACCAGGAACTACCCTAGGAATATTTCACAGATCTCTGCCCACAGGGGCAGCTTGGTGCTGCTGGTACTTATATGCAGTTCTGTCCCACTGGCCTAGCCAGTGGGACAAGGGATGTTGACAGTAACGGTGGAGTAGCTAATGCTTACAGTACTTTGTTATGGTAATCCTTGCAAATTAGTACAGAAACTAAATATTTTCTAGCTATAAAAAGGAATGAAGCCAGGTGTGGTGGTATGCACCCATAATCCCAGCACTCAGGAGGCTGAGGCAGGAGAATTGCCATGAGTTCAAAACCAGCCTCGACCCTGTCTCAAATAACTGGAAAAAAAAAAAAAAGGAATGAAGTTAAAAAAGGAATAAAGTACTGATCCATGCTACAACAGAGATGAACCTTGAAAACATTATGTTAAGTATGAGAAGCTGGGACACAAACGACTATATATTATATGATTCCACCTATTGTATGTA